AAATAGAAAAAAAAATCAAAGTACCAATTATCGTACTTCCAATCTGCGCAGTTATGCCATAACAACCTTCAGTAGTATCTTTATAATACACATTTTAAATAATTTTTTAAAAAAAGAACTGAGGAGAGTGAAATTAAAATGATAAATGACATTACCACATCCTGAGATGCATACTGGGGGTCCTCTGGGTTCACCGACCAGTAGCAGTAATCAAAGCCAAATGCCACAATCTTCTCCCGGGAGTCCCCAAAGCTATCTGGTCGATTGTCCACCTAGAATCAAAGAAAGAATCCAGTGTCTTTTCTACCTTAGTATCAGAATCTAGCCAAAGGCACTTGATTACTCTCTAATTATAGAGACATGGACTGGTCATGAGAATGTTTATTTTATCCTCCCGAAAAAGAAAAAAAAGGTAATTTGTCTCCATTTCATGAGGTACAAAGTGCCAGAGAACTAATTTCCTCTATCATATTATCATATATCAGCATATATATATGTAAACCAACCTTATGAAATCTAAGAAAGCTTGGGACAGAAATTCTCTCCTCCTCTGGGCTTCTTATTACTACAGATTGAATATCCCTTATCTGAAATGCTTAGGATTAAAACTGCTTCAGATTTTGGGGGATTTCACAATTTTTTGTATTTTTCGAAAGTTTGCATATATCAAGTTAGATATCTTGGGGATGTGACCCAAGTCTATCCAGGAAATTTATGTTTCATAGCACCTTATATGGGTACACACAGCCTAAAGGTAATTTTATAGAGTTTTTTTTTTTTTTTTTTAGACAAAGTCTCACTGTGTTGCCCTTGGCGGAGTGCTATGGTGTCACAGCTCACAGCAACTTCTAACTCTTGGGCTTAAGTGATTCTCTCGCCTCAGCCTCCCAAGTAGCTGGGACTATAGGTACTGGCCACAATGCCTGGCTATTATTTTGTTGTAGTTGTCAGTGTTGTTTAGCAGGCCTGGGCTGGGTTAGAATCCCCCAGCCCTGATGTATGTGGCTGGTGCCCTAACGACTGAGCTATGGGTGCCAAGCCATTATAGAGTATTTTTAAATAATTTTGTGCATGGCCAGGTACAGTTCATGCCTATAATCTTAGCACTCTGGAAGCACATGACTATAATCTTAGCACTCTGGAAGCGCATGACTATAATCTTAACACTAACAGCTCATGCCTATAATCTTAGCACTCTGGGAGGCCGAGGCAGGTATGTTGCTTGAGCTCAGAAGTTCACGACTAGGCTCAGCGCCTGTGGCTCAAGCGGCTAAGGTGCCAGCCACATACACCTAAGGTGGCGGGTTCGAATCCCCAGCCCAGGCCCGCCAAACAACAATGACGGCTGCAACCAAAAAATGGCCAGGTGTTGTGGCGGGCACCTGTAGTCCCAGCTACTTGGGAGGCTGAGGCAGGAGACTTGCTTGAGCCCAGGAGTTGGAGGTTGCTGTGAGCGTGATGCCATGGCACTCTACCCAGGGGGATAGCTTGAGGCTCTGTCTCCAAAAAAAAAAAAAAAAAAAAGTTCAAGACTAGTCTGAGCAAGAGCGAGACCCCATCACTACTAAAAATTAAAAAAGTAGCCAGGTGTTGTGGTGGGCACCTGTAGTCCCAGCTACTCAAGAGGCTGAGGCAAGAGGATAGCCTGAGCCTAAGAGTTTGAGGTTGTTCTGAGCTATGACACCATGGCACTCTACTGAGGGTGACAAAGTGAAACTCTGTCTCAAAAATAATAATTTTGTGCATGAAACAAAGTTTTTTTGTTTTTTTTTTTTGTTTTTTTTCGCATTAGCCACTTGAGCCACAGGTGTCAAGCCTGAAACAAAGTTTTAACTGCAATTTGACTGCAACTTTTCACATGAAGTTAAGTGTGAAATTTTTCCATTTATGGGGCCATATAAGCACTCAAAAATTTACAGATTTTATAGGATTTCAGTTTTCAGATTTTCGAATTGGGGATGTTCAACCTGCATTATTTCTTCTCTAAGTATATCTGCAGAGGATATGGGGAAACTCTGAGGAGTTCAACCCCTGGGCATGACAGGCTCGATCAACCTGAGGCTTTCACTGAGATCCTTGGAGTATGCATCTCCATTAAATTTGAAGCCATATTGGATATAAGAGCAGGAGCAATCTGACCATTTGAGGTAGAGCCACAGCTCGAAATTGCATAGATCTCCAGGTACTGGGGAGAATGGCATTATTCTCAGAAATGGCTTAACTACTTCAAATTTAGCCTCTGGACTGAGAAAGACAATCCTGGCACTAGCCATCACAAACTATAGACCAATGAGGCTGTCAGAATGATCAAGAGATTCTTAGTGGATAACTGACCTCAAGGAGTAAGCAAGTAGAGAGGTGTGTAGGGGACAGATTAAAGTTTGATCCTTCCTAGCACTCTGGGAGGCCAAGACAGCTCACTGGTTGGACACCAGCCTGAGCAAGAGGGAGATCCTGTCTCTACTACACATACAAAAACAGAGGTAAGAGGATCACTTGAGCCTAAGAGTTGGAGGTTGCTGTGAGCTATGATGATGCCAAAGCACTCTACCCAGGGCAACAGCCTGAGACTCTGTCCCAAAAATAAATAAATAAAGCGATCTTGATCTTGACTGAGATTTATTAAGAACCAAAAATATGGCTTGGCGCCCATGGCACAGTGGTTAGGGTGCTGGCCACATGTGCTGAGGCTGGCGGGTGCAAACCTGGCCTGGGCCTGCTAAACAACCATGACAACTGCAATTGAAGAACAGCTGGGCATTGTGGCGGGTGCCTGTAGTCCTGGCTGCTTGGGAGGCTAGGGGAGGAGAATTGCTTGGGCCCAGGAATTTGAGGTTGCTGTGAGTTGTGGCACCACAGTACTCTGAGGGTGACATAGTGAGACTCTGTCTCAAAGAAAAAGAAAAAAAAAAAGAACCAAAAATATGAGATCTCAGAACAAAATAGATGAAGTGATTAGGGAACAGAGATAACTAAGAAACAGGAGGCTGGACGCAGTGGCTCATGCCTGTAATCCTACTACTCTGGGAGGCCAAGCTGGGTAGATTGTTAAGCTCAGGAGTCTGAGACCAGCCTGAGCAAGAGCAGATGCCATCTCTAACAATAGCTAGGAGTTCTGGTGGGTACTGGGAAGCTAAAGCAAGGGAATCACTTGAGCGCAAGAGTTTGAAGTTGCTGTCAACTGTGATGCCACAGCACTCTACCAAGGGTGACAAAGTAAGACTCTGTCTCAAAAAAAAAAAAAAA